CCCGCCTTGGTTTGCAGCACAGACCGAGCTCTCCTGGCTCAGCCTGTGCTGGACCCGCCCTTGACCAAGGTCTCTCCCCTCTGCAGCAAGATCTCCACCATGGAAGAAGAAATTGCAGCGCTCGTCATCGACAATGGCTCTGGCATGTGCAAAGCTGGCTTTGCAGGAGATGATGCCCCTCGAGCCGTGTTCCCCTCCATTGTTGGGCGCCCGAGACACCAGGTGAGCAGCCAGCCACGTACCGGTGAAGTGAGAGTGGCCAGGTGTAATATTGCTGGGGGTCCACGTACCCGTGAAGTGAGAGTGGCCAGGTGTAATATTGCTGGGGGTTATGAAAAGGGGCCTTGACACTTACGGGGCCTGCCTTGTTTTTAAAGGGTGTCATGGTTGGCATGGGGCAGAAGGACAGCTATGTAGGCGATGAGGCCCAGAGCAAGAGAGGTATCCTGACTCTCAAGTACCCCATCGAGCACGGCATTGTCACCAACTGGGATGACATGGAGAAAATCTGGCATCACACTTTCTACAATGAGCTTCGTGTAGCACCTGAAGAACACCCTGTTCTGCTGACAGAAGCTCCCCTGAATCCCAAGGCCAACAGAGAGAAGATGACACAGGTACACTTGCTGCAGTAGTCTGTGATCTGCCTTCCTCCCTGTTTCACAAACCATCTCTTTCGTTATGGATCTCTTTTAAAACTCAAGTGTTCTTTCAATATTTTCAGGGCTCTGTACACCTCCTGGCATTTCCTTCCTGAAGTCTCAGGTTTCTTTTTTTGTTTTCTTTCTGCCTGCGTTCTTTGCTTTTCCTTTCCCAGCACATCAGTTTTTGCATGCAAGCATGTTTTCAAAGATTGGCTTGAGACGGGGTTTTCGTACTACCTGTAGTAAAACAGAACTCTTTCTTTCCAGATCATGTTCGAAACCTTCAACACCCCAGCCATGTATGTTGCTATCCAGGCAGTGTTGTCCCTGTACGCCTCTGGTCGTACCACTGGTATTGTTATGGACTCTGGTGATGGTGTTACCCATACTGTGCCCATCTACGAGGGGTATGCTTTACCCCATGCCATCCTGCGTCTGGACTTGGCTGGCCGAGACCTGACAGACTACCTCATGAAGATCCTGACAGAAAGAGGCTACAGCTTCACCACCACAGCTGAAAGGGAAATTGTGCGTGACATCAAGGAAAAGCTGTGCTACGTTGCCCTGGATTTTGAACAGGAGATGGCTACTGCTGCTTCATCATCCTCCCTGGAGAAAAGCTATGAGTTGCCTGATGGTCAGGTGATCACCATTGGCAATGAGAGGTTCAGGTGTCCAGAGGCCCTCTTCCAGCCATCCTTCCTGGGTAAGTATCTACCAAACCGTCCTCTGTGCTGGAACACAACAAGCCAGAGAATCGCTGGACTGCCAAGTGCTAGCTTTGCAGTGCTGACTGCAATCGAAAGCTGGTTAGGGAGGGGTTGGGTAACTGAAGTCTGATCACTTCTGTCTCTTAGGTATGGAATCCTGTGGCATTCATGAAACCACTTTCAACTCCATCATGAAGTGTGATGTAGATATTCGAAAGGACCTGTATGCCAACACAGTATTGTCTGGGGGAACCACAATGTACCCTGGGATTGCTGACAGAATGCAGAAGGAAATCACAGCTCTGGCACCCAGTACGATGAAAATTAAGGTAAATGGCTCTCCTCTTTCCAAAGAGCTACTGAGTCATAGGAGGAGGCTGCCTTTCCAGATATTCTTGACCACTGACTAACTGCTTCTCTTGTCTTTCTAGATTATTGCTCCACCTGAGCGTAAATACTCCGTTTGGATTGGTGGCTCCATCTTGGCGTCTCTCTCTACCTTCCAGCAGATGTGGATCAGCAAGCAGGAATACGATGAGTCTGGCCCATCCATCGTCCACCGTAAATGCTTCTAAATGGACTTTTCACTAGTATACATTTGCCTGGGCAAATTTATACACTTCATGCTAGCCTCATAAAACTGGAATAAGCCTTTTTTCAAAAACTTGCCCTTGGGAAAGTCTGTAAGACAAATGTCAGTGACTCGAAGTTGCTGATTTGACCCTGTATTCAAGTTAACTGTTCCCCTGGTACATTTCAGCACCTACCCTGTATGTATCTGACCAAACCTTGGTACAGGTGGCATCACTCATGTGGCATAAATGCTAGGGTTAGCTTGTATTGGTAGAAGAATGTTCAAGTATCTCACTATGGGCTAGTGACTCCTGGTAATTCTAGGGTTTGAGCCTAGATTTGTACAGGGTATTTGTCAGACTTCCAGTACAAAGTGCTGAATATTCCAGATTTTGGTGTAGAGGCTGGTAAAGTTCATCAAAGAACTTATTTCTGTTGCTGCCGTTGTAGCAAGGCTGGAAAACATGACATCCAAGCCTTACGGGCCAGGTTTCATTTTATTATCCCAGCAAACATCCTTGGGGGCTAAAGTTACTCAACTTTTGAGTTGCTAAAACTGCATTTACACCTGTAAATTTTACACATCAAGTTTAATTTATGTAAGATTTTTGTATGTTGCCTTAATGTTCTCACATGACAGTAGAAAACCAAAACTTGTAAGTCATCCTGAAGTTGAGAAATTGTAATGCCCAACAACACATCAATGTGTAAGGAAAATAAAGCGCTGCAGTAAAACTCCATGGGTGTCCTCTTCTGAATAAGAACCTTGGCTTTTCAGGTATTGGACTAGATTTAATAGTATCTGACCTTGCACATAGTGATGTTCTAAGTTCCTTGACAGATCTCAGAGCTGAGGCAAACTGGTTTCCTTGCGTTAGCTCTTACAGCCAGGTATGCTTACAAGCCTTGACAAATCTCAGAGCTGAGGCAAACTAGTTTCCTTGCGTTAGCTCTTACAGCCAGGTATGCTGGGGTCTGATTGGTACATCTCCACTTCTTCTTACACACATTCTCCCTCCCCAGATCTTCTCATCTTAGTTATAACTGGGTTTAGTAAAGACTTCAAGCTTGTTAAGGTGTGCAATCCCAGTTACATTATTTACATAGCTGGGGTTGCATATCTTAAGCTAACCTGGGTCTAGTAACAGACCCAGCCTCAATTCTAGTCTCTTCCCTGGCCTGTAGTGCAAGCAGGCTTTCATCAAACAGATGCTGCTACAGCAAACCTGTAGTTGCTTTAGTGCAAAAGCTTGCTGCCTGTCTACACTGCCCATGAGTTTGTGCGCAAGAACACTGACTTTCTAATGTAAGAAATCAGTGTTTCTTGTGCAGAGCTATGATGCTTCCACTCAAGAATAAAGCCCTCTTGCGCAAGAGGCCAGTGTAGGCAGGCAACATGCACAAATACTTAACGCAAAAACTCGTGTTAAAGTATTTAAGCAGAATCTTGCCAATGTAGCTGCCCTGTTTAAGTAAATGGCACTAACTACCTTGTCAGACTGATCAGGCCCTACATTTTGGTTTTAAAAAGTCCAGCCAGGCTGCTGCTTTGCATAAGAAACAAAGCACCCTCTACAGGCCCCCAAAGACACTTCTGAAAGTCTTGTGTGTAAAATCCTGGCTTTGATTCCCAAGTCTGGAGCTTCTTTAGGCTCACTCATTTCCCTCTTCACGCTGGGGGAGAGCCAAGAGATTCTTTTCTCCCTTCCTGCTCAGCCCTCGTGTTAGGAAAGGCACTGATTTGTTTTCTACCATTATTAGTTGGGGATCCTGCTATGAAACAGGCATTGGAACTGTTGGCTTAAGCCTGCTGCCAAGCCAACTCCCTAGCAGGGTGGAGTCAGTTTTGTGTGCAACTGACACAAGCATGTATCAAAACTAACTCTCCAGCTGCTAGTTTTGGAGCAGCAGTCAGAGCGTTCACCTGTCTTAAGTTTCTCTGTTCAATAGTATGAATACATGTATTTCCCTACCTGGGAATTTCTGAATATCCTGTAATTGCATCTATAATAGGCCTTGACCCATGCCTTGCCCTTCTGGCTGGTGTTCAGGTGGGAGCCTGCCAAAAATAATTTTTTTTTTTTAGTTGTATGGGGCTAAAACTTCAATTGTTCTTTGGCAGGGTGGTGGGAAGTTGAATGCAAAGAATTTTTGCCTAGTATAAATAAGGACGAGCATTTGGGAGGAAGCTTTCATCCAATAGGGTTTGAAATACACCAGTCACTCTTAGAGTTTAGCATTAATGAGCTTCCTGTTGGCAGGCAGTGCCTTGCTGTAAAAGATGAGTTTGAGCAGTAGGCAGAGGTAGGGAACTGGATGGTGTCCATAACAGCATTCTACAGGGAGCTGTGAATTTCAATGTGCTGTACAAACAGCAGCTCATACAAAATCCCTGCATGCTAAGTATTTTCATATTAAACAGGGGCGAAGAAGAGATGCTAATTAATTGAAATACCGAAGGTCGTGCAGTGAGTCAGTGGCAGAGCTGCAATTAGGCTCTTGCATTTGCTTCTCTAATTACTGCTGAGCACTGTTCCAAGCGGTGTGGTTATGTGTTAAACAGAGTGCTGCTGCTGTGTTAAAGTGCCATGGCAACTGGTCTTAACAGTCCAACAGAACTTCCCTCATCACATGCAAGCTGCTGTGGCAAATAAATCAGGCTTGCAGTTGGGTTTTGTGTGAGCAAAATCACATGCCGAGAAAAGTAGAAGTCAGCAAGGTGGCTTGGCCCAGAGCCACAGAGGTAGTTAAGCGCCTACTTTGCACTGTGAGTCTACCATTGTCACCCACTGCTAGCCAAAACCTGGGTGCTCTGTGGGAGGTTCCTGAGGGACTCTTAATTTCCTTGGATTTTTTATTCTTCCTTTCCAAGACCTGCCTTAGGCCTTTTCTACATTTGCCTTTCCCACCATGACAGAAATTCCTTCTTGGCCTTAGCAGTAGAGGCTAGTAGGAAGGGCTAGTGCTTTGTCACCCCAAGTGTAACAATGTGCCCCAAAGTTCAGGAGAGCTCAGCCATCAGTTCCCCTGCATGCTTCCCCTCTTCATGGATGCAAGTTCTGTGCTAACCTGCAAAGGGAAAACCCAGGCTGGGGGCATGGGCTGAGGATAGCTGGCTACAAATACCAATCTTAACGGATCTGATTGGGGGCATGGGCTAAGGATAGCCAGCTACAAATACCAATCTTAACGGATCTGACTTGGAGGCCTTTTGGCCACTGGTTTGTCTCGGACACTGGCTGGCACCAGGTGCTTACATTCCGGTTCTTCCTGACTCTCACTAGCTAGAGATCAGCTGGGCCCTGAAGAATGAAGATTTATATCCCAGGCAGAACCTTCTGGCCAGATCTACACTTCAAAAAAGTTACATCACTCGGGCGTGAAAAATGTGCACTCCAGTTAAACCAACCTAATCCCTGGTGTAGCCAGAACTAGGTCGCCGGAAGAATTCTGTTAGCCGTTTTCACTGGAACAACAGCATGGATTTTTCACTGTGGGGGTGGATTTGAAAAACACCAGGTGGCAATTTTTGCCAAGCTGTTCGGTGCCATAATACACTCATAACCTGTCTCTAGTTGGCTTTTTGCTGTGTGATTTGCAACAGAGCTGGAAGGGAGGAGTCAAGGTGTTTTGTTCATCCATAAATACTCTTCAAAATGAACCAGAGGGATGGGTAACGCCTTACCAGAGAGGAAGGAAGGCTGCATTTAGATTCTATGGGGCAGGAAGATTTCCTCTGCCATGGAAAAACAATTCAGTCTTCAGAGATGCCGTTTGGGATGCCTTACAGATGTCAAGTTAAATAAGCGGAATCTGTCTGTTGGAGAAATTTTAGTTGGCAGCTGCCTGCGTCTCTGTATCCACAAAGGCCTTAGCTCTAAATCCCCTTTCAAGTGTTCGCATATTACAGGATATGATGTAGTGTTCTTAACCTCCTAGGTAGAATGTTTGCACATTAATCACGCCAGGAAAAAAACGAGAACGAAAGAAAGTCTGCAGGGAATGCGCAGTGAGAGCGGAAGGATGTGGCTGCTTAGTCAGAGCAGCCGGGACTCCATCCCAGAGCCGTGAGCTCCTCCCGCGCCCCCGTCTTAGAGAGCTGCAGGCGTTCCGGCCACGGGCGGCTTCCTCGTGTCGCTGGCCGCACCCTGGCGGTCAGATCACAGGTGCGCTCGCTGGACACGTGGCAATGCCACGGGGGTGAGGCACACAGGGCCTCTCAAGGCACCTTTTGTTAGCCTGGGGAGGGGACTGAGTTGGGTGGGATGCGGGAGAGAGGACCCGGGGGGGGGATGCGGTTACGGGGGGAGTGGAGGGTTGGGCCATAGGCACAATCCTGTGGATCAGGGTTGAGGGCAAGTGGTTCCAGCTCCATCCTGCAGAGAACAGGGGCCATCCATGTGATGCACCATTGCACACGTAGACACACACAACCCATTTGACTGCTTCAGAAAGCCAGAGGCATGAAATCACCGCTGGGGGCAAGGGGAAGGGGGACGGGGCGTGGTGAGGAAGGGTGCCAATTCTGATGGAATAAAACCTGGACCCAACACCTTTGTCCCTGCCTTGGGTCCCCAGAGCCAGCACTGCTGAGTGCTGCCTCGGGCCACAGCGGAACCAGGGAATGAAGACCTGCCACTCTCGCTGCCGTCACAGAGCCACCGACGCCAGCCGGCAGGAACTGGGAGTCTCCCCTGGCCACCGTGCGCCTGGAGCCCTGGGGTGGGTCACTAGCTGCACGGCTCACGTGCTTAGCCTGCTGCATGCACCCTGCGTTCCCAGGCCTCAGCCCTGCAGGAACCCGGCCGCTGGAGCCAGACGGTGCTTTCGGCCAGCGCTGCAGCAACCAAGCCAGGCTCCGTGTTATCGAATGCCGGGGCAGCCCTGCGAGTAGACGCCAGGTGCACTAGTAGCATCAGCCCATCCGGGCGGAACAGGAGGTCCCCTCAGCACAACGTCTGACCCACACGTCTCTGGGATCGGATCATTTCCCGCTCGGTTCCCGGGGGGCTGTTGGTCACAGGGAGCCAGCAGCTGCTGGGTCCCATCTGGGCCATTGTCCGTCTGGCGGGCCAGCCGATTTCTCTGCGGGGCTGCCAGCGTACAGCTCAGCAGTTCCAGCGCTGCCCTTGCCCGGATGAGCTGAGCGCTCGGGGCAGGAAGAATTCCCGACACCAGACTCCCGTTCCAGGCGCGCTGCCTGGTTGGTTCTTTATCTGTATCAAAGCAGGGCTGAGGGTCCCCAGCTATGGCCCAGGGCGCCTGGCCTGTCCAAACAGCACAAAGACAGTCCCTGCCGCCAGGGACACAATCCCAGGTATAAGGCAAGTGACCCCAGCTGGGGTTGTGTGTTTTTTCCACAAAAGAAGGTGAATTTTCCTGCTCTTTGCCCCCAGAGCGCCGCCAGCCACTTGTATTTCAACGGGAGTAAACTCTTGCGCCCTGTCGGTCCCGGATCCAACCATCTGTCTGTCTGTCCCATTCCAGCCCCGTCTGCCTGTCTCTGGCTGATGTGTCTAGCCGTAATTCCACAGCCGTGCATCAGTTTTCCCCAGGTGGGTGTCACCGCAGTGGCTGGGTTTGCTTGTGTACATTTCCCTGGCGGCTGGGCCAATAAAAGCTATTACCTTCCCCCCGCCCCGGGGCCAATGGGCCAGCAAACAGCTTGTCGGGTTTGTGCGTTCGACTCCCTGCATGGTTGGCAAGCAAGTCCGAGCCGACGGGCCAGAGACAGGTGC